AGATAAAGGCTGTCTAATCCTTGAACAACGTATGTCATCCAACAATGTAACTAGGCCCTTAAAATAATGATAGTTTTGCATATCCCCACCGACAATAATAACAGTAGGCATAATCTGTCAAATAGTTATTATTAATTTATATAAAATAATAAATGCAATCTAAATAAACTTTAAAATGCAGTACCTAGATAAATGCCCACGTCTCTCTCTAGTAGATAAATTCTGAATTTTGAAAAGTTAGCAGTTAAATGAGTCTACTCCAGAAAAATACCTATGACACCTGAACACTTAACTACATAGGCCGACCTTACGCATCTACTTTAACAATAAATAAATTTAACAATCAGAAACCTTAACATTAAACGTGGTGTGAAAGCCTACGGTTAATCCTCTATTTATACACACATTATTCGTAACCTTTTAAACCTTTCGACAATAAAGCACATTTTTTTTAACAAAATGTAAAAAAAAAATATTTGAACAACGAGATTGTTTTTATACGCAAACTATATCGAGGGAACGAAATAATATTTCGAGGGAACGAAATCATTTCGAGCGAACGATATAATATTTCGTTCGACCGAATTGTTATTTAGAGGGAACGAAATATTATTTCGTTCCCTCGAAATTATTTCGGGTGATTTCGGGTGGCAGCTCTGCCAAATGGGGGCCCTATGGTATTGGGTGTATATATAGGCATATATATAGGACTTTATTTGTTGAAAAATTACAGGGTAGCCTAGTAACGATGTTTCATCATGTTCTTGTGGGAAACAATGGCTGGATCTCAGTAGAGATACAAAAATGATAAGCAACAGCTAAAAAGTAAACTTAAGTAAACAGCCAGAAATAGAACCAGAGCTTTCGGACAACACTAGTCCTTCCTCAGTGGCGAGTGAGTGAGGGTAGAAAAAACTAGATGGTATAAAGTGAGAATTTCATGCAAGCATGATTTCAAACAATAGGTTGGGTGAGATTAGAATAAACAGCCTAAACAAGTAAACAGGAAGGCCAAAACTAAACTATAGAGGCAAGCCTCAATAAATAAGCCAAATGATTTATAAGTAATAAATTAAAATGCC